CACGCTGGGACATGGCTCATGTTTTATTCAACGCATTCGCCGAAAAGTCCCGAATGTCGTTTATCGCGCACCGCGACAAATTTTCACGATGACGGATTAATGCGGAAAGCAAAAAATGTTAAAGACCATTTTTGGGCGAACAAGTCGAGCGTGACCTATACGCGATCCGGGGGACAGAAACTTGGGTGGCTCCGGCGTGACGTTGTCGCAGTCGAGGGTGCTTCGCTGTTCAATAATCCCGCACGAACATCTTCGGGAAATTGTTATAATAGCCTGGGCATCTCCCTCGCCTACTGGCTCTGTTATCGGATTGCGCTGCTAAGCTCCGGAAGAGATTTACCCCCGAATTGTTTCCTTATTCGGTGTAGCTGTGTTTTTCTTTTCTTCCTCCTTTTTTATTTTCTAAATCAATTGTTGCGTATTATCGGGGATACTCCAGGAAGCGCAGCCTCTGCAATTTAAATTCTCATTTTCCGAAAGGCCGATGTCAATTAACCGCTCGATAAACGCCATCTCAAGGCGATGCCGAGTGATTACTTACACGGAGCGAGGCTTCGACGGGGTGACAAGCTTCTAAATTGCATAACCTGATATCGAAAATTCAATCCCAGCCAAGAGGAAAAGGGACCGTATATATCGAGAGGATCTCGGAAAATCAGCATCGACGTACTTACCGTACGCCAGGCCTTGGAGGCGACAATCAGAGAGGCTTGACGCGCCAACGACGACATCGAGCACGTAATTAGGAAGTTGGTATCGGTACATTTGAGCAAGTGAGCGGATATGCACGGATTGCTGATCGATATTTGTATACTGCATAATGCGAATATGCGAGGGCAAGTGAAAAGGCTCGTGTCTGAATATATCCGAGTTCTGGTGGGAGATTCCTAATGGGAGAGGATCTGTACGCGATCGGTAAAGGACGGATGTACGTCGTGATTAGTTTCGCTGGATTTCTGGCTCATGCGACTCGTCGACATTTTTCGTTGTATTTTTTCTTTTCCAAGTTCGTCCACTTGAGCCAACGAGTTTTGCATACGCTTTGTAACGTTACTGTATGTGCTGTACTCGGAATAGTCCATCAGAGAACTAAAGCTAATATTCAATTCGTTAGTTCTTTTTTTCATAATTAATTCGGCTTTTTAACTTAATGATTTGTTCGTACACCAGAGTAACGAGATAAAATGCGCGATACTTAAAAGTTGAAATTTTATGCGTTTCGCGACCGTTAAAAAGAGATCCTTAGGAAGTGTTTTATACGTAAACTTACGTGGTATTTCACATTACAGCTTTGTTTTAAACTTGAGCTCAGTTTACCCGTAAAACAGTTTATAATGTCACGGCACAAACTTCAACGTGTAAAGTTCCTCAAGAAACAATGGTGTCACAGATAAAGTTTTTTGTTTTATTTTCACACCACAAACAATACTTTTGTTAATTTCGATAAAGACATTTTTGACGAACAAGTCGATGATTCAAAGTTTGTTGTACAACAAGACAAATGAAAAAAAAAAGATCCTGGCAAAACGCGAGTACACAACTGTTCGACTGAATTAAGTTCTTATCTCAAAGTGCGCAGTGCCGGCAGCGAGCGAAATAACTCGATTAATCCATCCGATAAGTTTTCAAAGCTCGAGTCCGTCGACCTGCGAGATAATAACACTTCTTCTTCAACCTCATCGCACTCCAAAAATCTTACAACGGCGTATACGTCCACTAACATTCGTGCACCGCTACTCGCATCGATGGAAGAGAGGAAAAACGACGTGGAGCACACTCCCCCCCACACTTCTCAGACTTTCCCCAACAAACGCGCGAGAGCCGGGATAAACTTGGGCAGTTCTTTGTGTATAAGTGCTTGACTCGTAGTGTTTCTTTTTTCTTTCGGCTCTTCCGCCTCTTTCACCCACCTGATAAGAGAAATCGCTCGTTCTCCTTTTTCTCTTTCTCACCTTCTTTTGTAATTCTACTTCTACGTAGGTGGAAGGAAAAAAGAAAAAAAGAAAAACTAGCACTTGCAAGCTCGCACGCAATCGTATTTTCCTTGTTTTACTCTCTTTATAGCCACGCACTTACCCATATTTTTTTTTTCGATTTTTTTTTCTGTCCTACTTTTAGATTTACTTTTTTCGAGGCTATCCGTCTTTCGACGAGGAAGAGGTGCTTTTAACCCTTTCGATGCGTTTGCTTCTTGTTTCATGATTTCTGACAATTTTATAAAAGCATTTAGTGGAAAAAATTAGCTTAGCCTGTACCCTCTAACTTAATCAATGACGTTGTAAGTATATTGCAAGTAACAATAAACATTTCGTTTGTGACTTACCCTTTCTTTGCTCTTCAGAATACAAAAATATATAGCTCCTTAAATTTTTACATGACAAAAAATAAAATCTTTTTTTACGCTTTAGAAATTAAAAGGGAGCTATCGAAAAATCAAATATTTAAACTCGAGGAAAAGGTGAAAGTCTTGACCAGTACGATAAATTACTATCGTTTGTTCATCAAAAGTCATTGTTATACTTTAAAAGTTAAAAATAAAGTACACAAATACAGAAAAGGCTTTTGTTTTACACAAATTTGAAACCCAACGTTTAAGTAACACGTGCGTGTGATGGATACAAAAAATAAAACTTCGTGGTACGCCATAAATTTTATACCCCCTTGTGATTTCGATACTTTGAAGAACGAAAAACATTAAAGAACAAAAAAAAAAAAAAGAATTTTTCTCCCACTCGGCTCGTGCACCAACGGTGGCCTCGTGTGCAATCGGCAACTCATTGCACGATGTACGATAATTTTTTTTGTTTTTGATCGCTGACTGGCGACTAGCTTCGACACTTGACCCCACGGAATTACCTCGTACACATTTCACTGTACAAGTGCAAGTCTGATAGCGTCAACTACGTGACCTTAAACCCAAATTCAGACCAGACGGAGGGCCAGTAGAAGAGGGGGAGGGGGCTGGAAAACGAGGACAGAGGGATGGGAGGGTTAAGGGAGAAAAGCCCTCTCGTGCTTTCGCAATGAGGGACGATCCCGTTTTTCATGCGGATAAGAGTCGAGCGGAGAGATGTATAGGGCAGAGGGCTACTGCTGACGAAAGAAAGACACTGCTGCGCAGCACTATACAGAGATAAGAGAGAGAAAAAAAATTAGACCGGTGTAATTACCGATCTTGCGTCCGTTCCCGTGAGGGAAAACTCATTACACGTAGTTGGTGTGTGTGTACTTGGACGAACGATGACGAATTAATTAAATAAATAAATTTTCTCTTTAGAGTCGGGAAAAGAGTACAGATACTTGTTTTAAGCCGTGGCTTCAAGAATCTGAATGAAGCACCAACAGTGGTGACGAGGAGCACCCAGGAATCATGCATCCCTCACAATCATCCCCGTTTGTGGTAAACAAGAAATAGAAAAAAAAGGGGGGGGGGGGAAGAAATTAAATTGGTAGCGATGACGACGCGAAAGATAAAAGAGGGAAGCTCAAAAGGAGCTTATACCCACCTGGCTGGGGAAAAAATTTTAATCCAGCGTTTCGCAAGCTCGCATCGGTGGAGCTCGGAACGCGCCTGGGCAAATCGCCGCTGAGAAATGCGTTAATCCCGCCCTCCACCTACTCACCCAACCTCCTCCCTCATTTTTAACCCACTCTTAACTCTTGCGCCTTCTCCTCCACCACCTTTGTACCCATATTTTTACTTTTGTACTTTGTTTGGGGATAAAAGCATGCTGCCTCTGCTGTGACGAAAAATTTGGGGATATCAATCTTTTTTTTTCTTTTCAATGCTACAAAACATCACTCGCTTAAACAAAGCAACGTCGGTGGGTGTGTCTATTAAGTAATCATACGAAATTTCACCTCTTTAAATTTGCTGCGTTGACAAGATCTAAGATTTTTTTTGCATGCTCGGGCTTTGGGTGAAAAAAATCTGCGCGCTTTCATGGGGGACTCATTACTTGATACCTTTCGGAGATTCTTTCCGAGAGCAGATTTTATATCCCTTTGAGAGGAGTAAAAAAAAAAAGAGCAGAGGGTAACGTCGATCTGATTTTATTGGATCGGGTGCGTGTGAAACCACCAAAGAAAGCTCCTCCGGGAACAGTGGAGGAGGTTAAGTAGACGGGTCAGAAAGACGAAGCGGAAAGACCGAGAAAAAGAGTCATCAAGTTTGAAAAAGACGGTAATGTAGAAGGGAAGAGAATGGGAATGTCGGCGAGAGCTAGAGTAAGCGCTTTCGAGAAATTTGATTTCGCTGACGACTCTTCGAAAGGTCACTTGATTTTATTTATGCGGTCAATATTATTATTGACAGTATCATTGTGATTTAACGTAAGGTTTGCTACGCGTGAGATACAAATTTGGAAAAAAGCTGTGATCGTAGTAACATAAAACTATAACCGATCTAATTTTCGAAAAAACTTCGTTACGGAATTGATGTAAAATTTATTTTTGTACCGAGCTCTTAAAAAAGTTATTGGATGTAGTAACTAATTATACAAAACGTTTTATTGATTAACAAATTACTGAATTTACTCTATCGGTGATTGAATTTGAATTAAAATTTTCATTCGCCTACTCGAGATTTTTATTTTACGGTTTATTTCTTCGCAAATAGTGCCTCCAATAAAGACTCGAATTAATATTTAAGTTTTTAATGAAAAATAAAAATTGCCAGAGATTGGTTACTTTGGAAAAATTTTAAACTCTTTTATTTTCTGATTACTTTAACAAAAAGAGTAATGTGTATAGTTGGAATATTATTGTACAACAATATAAAAGTTAAACAAAAATTATTGCGATTTTTGCATACAATAGACCGAGAGATAAAAAAATTGTTTGCGCATACGACTAATGTGATGAGCGCTGCATGATAAAAACTATACGCGCACATTTCTCGCTGGAAAGAAAATTATCACGGAGTAAGAGGGGAAACCGTAACCTCGTTGATGAAAAAAAAAAAAAAAAAAAAAGAAATTATTTAAAAAAAAAATACCAACCTTCCTTGGTGGTGCCGTTCATCCGTCCTTTTTTCCCATTGGCCACGTTGTTCTCACCCATGACGAGCTGATACTCGCCCTTTTTACTGATGACGCTGTTCTTCCGATCGGCCCCGAACTTCATACTAATCCCATTGTCCTGGTCTCCCTTGTCGGTCAACATCTTTGATTTTTTGTTTTTTTTTTCGTTTTCTTTCTTCAATTTACACGAGATGAATCATACATCTATATTACAATGGGCTTCGTACCGATGTACAAGAGATCGATCAACGTACTACTTAATTTTGTTCGTCCTGCCGCCTTGGAAGCTTCATTCAACTGTTACTTACACGCACTGCTTCCCGTTTCTCCTCCCGAGCTCCGTATGTACAAACACATGTACCATATGCGCAATATAATTATATTTCCCCTCTATCCCTCCGTTTTTTTTTTCATTCCCATACTCATGTATAATATACAAATATATATACATATACGCGTATACCCCCACAGGTAAAACGTGTGATAAGGACGCGCTAGGGGTGGGGAGGGGTTGATTTTTTAAAGGAATCTTTCCTTATAGCTTCCTTCCTGCTCTCGCTCGAGATCACAGCCTGCGGCTGCGGCACCTGAGACTCCCGTAAACCTCCAGGCGACGCCTCTCATCCTCGCAAGAGCCGCGTTTTATACTCTATCGTCATATATATATATATATGTATCACAGGCATCAGCAGTGGCAAAAACTCGTACACCTGCCAAGTAGCATACTTACTTTTCTTCTCTTCCTCGATCGCTCTCGGACGCGTGACTGTATGTATGTACATATATGTGTATATACTGTTATTATATACCGATTGTACTTGTTTCTGTTTTTTCTTTTTTTTCTTTTTTCTTTTTTTCTTCTTTTTTTTGCTCTTCAACAAGTGTCAGGCAGTCCTCCCGTGGATGGTGGTCGCGCCCGCGAGACCCGACTCGTCGCTGTCGTCGCCAAACAACAGCCGCGGCTTGTGCTCGGTTATACCGATCTCCACGAGAACAAAGAGCCGCAGCCGACCGGCGGCTTTTCTCCGACACCTTGGACCGCACATATATATATGTATAATATGACAACTGAAGCTTTTTTTCGTTCGGTTATCTTCCTTCGGAACTCACTGCAAGCTCTCGGGTTGAATTTTTCGCGGGCTATATATAGCCTGGACGTCGTTACATTAGCACGAGGTCGGGCCGAGAGGGGCGAAAAAATCGATCATTCCGTCCCAGTCCGATTGGCTCGCGCGTGGTGACTTACGTTGCTTGCGCTACGAGCTTTTACTCGCACCTCTCGGGGGCAAACGGGGAAAATCCACCCTCTGACTGTAGGTGATGCACCCAATCATGTGTATATATATATATGTATATGTATATACGATGTACGTGACGTTTTTTTGACGCGCGTCTCTTCGTTGGCGGGGTTGAGCTTGTGATATCTGTCCCCTAACCTAAAGCTCTTTGCCCGCGAGCTTTTTCTCCCTCCTCCTCTACCTGCAGCGAGGCTTTGCGTTCAATGGCACCGTGCGACAGCTTTGCGTGCTCCCGAAACAATGGCTGCTCCAAAATGTTGTTGCACCAAGCACGCACTCCCAGTGACGAAAGCTTTCCGCAAGCTCGCACCCTTTTACAATGGCTTACTCGAAAAAAATAACAAAAGAGACTGTCCGGGTGAAATGCGCGTATATATACGACTTACGTGACGAAGAGAGAAAGGGGGTGGGCCAGAGATGGGAAATTTGAAAAAAAAAAAAAAAAAAAGAATGAAACGCGCGCGGACGAGTCGACGATTATCACTGTGTACCTACATACGTGCAGCCCGAGGAAAGAGGACTCCTCGTTCGTTGGTTCGTGCGGCGCGCGCGACGACTGCTCTCTCGCGCAGCCAGCGGTACAAACTACCGATCAGCTGTGCTTACGACAGGGGGGGGGACTCTGTACACATGACGAGAGTATATAGGTGTAGGTGTGCACCGTCCTCCCCCCACTCCTAGCGGTGTGCCTGGGAGAGCCCACACGGCTGTTCCCCCCCTCCCCCCACTCTCTCGGTGTTGTCTTACCTCCCCCGATTCCCTCGGAGCGCCCAGACTCCCCCATCCGAGAAGGCTCTTTCTTATCTTATCCCCTTTGACGATGATGAAACTTTTTAATCGTCCAAGTTGCGGTGTGCAGGTGAAGAGAATTTTACATCTAGTTTCATGTAACTGTTGATCAATTTGACGAATCGTGCTAGGCCTATAACAATCGACTATTTCTTTTTCTTTTTCTTTTTCTTTTTTTTTTTCTCTTTTGGAAAAGTGTCTGTGGGTAGGAATAGAAAAAAAAGAGGATACGCGAAGAGAGCTTTTCATAGGAGGGGTGCTTCGATCGGATCGAACGTCGTGTACGCGGAAGTAAAAGATCGATATCGTCTATATTTATTTTATTTGTTTTTCACTACAGTGAGTCTGATGTGAAAGTGCGTTGTTATTTTTTTTAACAGAGGACAAGTCCAGGATATTTTTTGTGGATTTACTCATACATTTCTCTCTACCAGTATCCCCCTCTCCTAAAATTGTTACTATAGACCGCTTCAATAAATAGGACGTTGTATCGAATATTTGTTTAGTGTCAAGTCTAGTAAAACTTGGAGATGCATAGTAGAAATTTTACTTAAAAAATATTTTTTGAATTTTATTTATTCAACAAATATAAATACGACTACGGTACAACAATGGCGGACAAGGAGTCAAGCAGAACTCAGGTTACTTCCAAACAGCCACGTTCAACGAGTGCAACAAGTAATCAATTTTCCGTAAAACAGTCGTCAGTCTGCAGACCCACATTTACGGAATGTGCAGATAAAAATAAATCCTCTGAACCTAAACAATCTTGTACGGCATTTTTAGTTGATACTTTTTGTCTCCATAATTTTGGCTATCGTTAGTCGTGTTTATTAAATATAAACCGACAGTGTGTGGATGAATGCTTACCTGTTATTTTATGGATTGTTTCTAGTATTTTTGTATTTCACCAAAACATGCTGTACAGTAGTAAATTTACGTTTAAAAAATAATCCTTGCATCCCGAATAATAATTTCATTGAGTTTTGTTATATTATTTGTTCTGATATAAAAATGTAAAACCCTTCATGTACGTGGGTTGTGCCAAAATTCCTTGTAAAATAAGATAAGCAAATAANAGATTTTTTTTTTTTTTTTTTATACTCACTGTTACTGCATCTGCGGAGTGATGGTTCCATTCCTTTTTTTCCTTTTTTGGTTCATCTAACAATCACTTTTTTTTTGTTTTTCGCTGATCCTTGACACGAGGAGCTAATTGATCGTTACATGCACCCGGGTAATCGTGTATCGAGTGAAAATAAATTCAACCACGTTTTTTACCATTTTAGGTTTTGTTTTATTTTATCAATTTTCATTAATTTTAGACAATAGTCGAGTCGTCGCAAATATATTCGTATAATATAAATATCATTAGGTATTTGTGTTCTGTATATGCGAGGCTCGTACGTATAGGAAAAAGAGAGAGAGACAGAGAGAGAAAAAAAAAACACCACATCGTCTTATCCATCACTCGTATTTTTTATCATCTTGGTAAATGTACAATGATAATCATAATTGTATATTTATATATTTTATGTGTATAAGTACGACGAAAAACTTGGGCCACTAGGCAAATCGTCCTTATGTTTATATTCATCGTTGTCATACAAATCGGGGAGGGGGGGGAAATTGTTTTTTTTTTTTCTCATTCATTTTCGTACACGTGCGCCCAGTTTTTTTTGTTCGACAATCAAAGGCCCAAGAGGGGGAAAGTTTGAGAATAGGTAAAACTCGTCCTTATTTTTCTTCTTCTTCTTTATTATCAAAGTTTTCTTCGTGTTAGTCTGTGCCCAAAATCACGAGGTTTTTCACCTCTTATATACATATATATTATTTTTTTTTAAACACGTATGTACATATACGTTACTTATCTCTTTAAAAAAAAAAAAATAAAATGTCTATCGTGTCTCTAAGTATATACGTGTAACTTACACAACGAATAATCGACCGCTAAAGTATTCCACATACATTAACTTACATAAACATGCCCAAGTGAGCGCCAAGCAGTCTCGACTGTAAGTTACCGAGAAAATCAAGTTCATCGACAACACAGTACTTATCTGTTTTCTTCCTCTCACTCGTACGGACAACGTATTAGCTGCGTTACTGTACAATGTATGGATATTTTTGAGTTTTCCTTTGTTTTCAATCACTCACTGAATTTTTAATTTAAAATTCTTCTCAGTTTCCATGATCAATAAAGTTTAGCAATCGATATTAGGTAGACTAGTGCACGAGGTCGTCAAAAACAACCTCCAAAATATTTATTTCCCTCTCTCCGGAAAATGTGGCTTTGGTTGAGTACTTATAAAAAAAAAAAAAAAAAAGAAAAGAAAAGAAAAGTAGTCGCAGGCAAAAAAACATAGCCAAGACGACATTGTCGTTGGAGGCTGAAATAAAAATTAAGCGAGCCAATAAATTTTTCCCGCTTACGTGTGCGAGGAGGAAAAAACGTACGACCGTATGACACAAAAGCGTGTGCTGTTGGATCGAATAGCTGGCATTTAAAGAGTTACACCGAATTGGATTTGTGTTGCGTGAGTCTTTTTTAAGAAAAAAAAAAAAAATTTCTTTTCCATGCGCAATGTCAAGCGTTTGGTGAGTGATAAAAAGGCGTGTATTGATACGAGCACTTGCCACGTAAAAGCGAGAGGAAAACAAAAAAAAAAAAAAAAAAAAAAAACAAAGCTCGCGATCCGAAATAAAACGAAGCGTCTCGAAAATGTATTTTGTGTTTGATCGTATCGCGTACGCATTCAGAGCTTACGTAAGGAATGAGATCACTGCGCACGAAAGCTTTTTTTTTTTTTTTTTTTTTTTAACAACAAACATCAATCGCCGAGGTATTCCGGGTATCTTTTGTCGCATCTATCGAATCAAGTGGTTGTTTACATGATAGCGCTGGGGAAAATAAATTATTCCTCGCATCTTGCTGATGATAGATGTAAGAGTCTGGTTTTATCTTTTTTCTTTTTTTCTTCCAATCGTTACAATCAACTACAATTCGATAATCGAGGAATAAACACGATTCAATCTCGAATAACACAAAAAGTTTGTGAGGTACTGTTTTTATTGTATCAATCATGAAAATATACACTTTACGGTGACTTATAACAATCTCTGAATACCTTACGTGCCTCAATCGACTGTGGTTGTAATATTGGTACAAAAAAGTACTATTGATAGAAAAAAAAAAAAAAAAATTACACTCCATCGTGATGACTTTTATTTTTTATCCGATAAAAAAAAATCCAGTTAATAAAATTTTCAACCGAACGCGTGTACCTATACGTATACAAACAGACCACATATCTTCGTTTCAATTGAGTACAGCGTCTCAAGGAGGAAATCGCCGCCGATGCGGGCGAGCGGCCAATTAGAGACACCAAAGATTAAGAGCTCTGCATGGGCTACTATCGTGTGTGTGTGTGTGTGTGTGTGTCTGTGCTCGTCCCACTGGCAATTGGTGATGCGTACACGCGCTCCGGACAATTAGATTGTATTTTTCCTGTTTTCAACGCGCCAACGACGACCAAAGGAAATATATATCATTCCCGCGGACCATACCGATCTCACAAAAATATTGTACAAAGAGCGAATGTTGGTCAAATTTATTGGAAATACGCGTCAGATGGTTCGATTATGTGCGGCGCATGTATAGTTCCTGTATAGCGATTTACACCTGCGAGTTTCAGTCGAGCGAAGTAGAGGTATACGATTGAGAACGGATGATCGTGGCGAGTTCGAAACTACCGAACCGCGGAATTTTTTTTCTCCTCCATCACCGAAGTAAGATTATACATGTTTACATACGTATAACCAGAGCTAACTGGAACGTCGCGTACACACACACGCGCGAGGGTCGATTCCGCAACGCGGCCCGCTAAGATCCTGTTATTCGATTGCCGTCTCTTCTTAGTTTTTTTTTTTTGTTTTTTTTTGTTTTTGTTTCTTAATCATATATCGCCGTCATCATCGCATGACAACGACGAGGAAAATCCTTAGCCACCGCAGAGATGCCGCGAGGAAGTTGTTGTTTGCGCGACCCAATTGTCGTTTGCTATTAGCTCGCGGGCAATAACGCGTCGCTCGATCTCTTTTTTCTTTTTTCCCCGTCGAGTGTTTTGTAGAATTGAATTGTTATCTACACGCCGACCCGTTTGGCTCTTTTTTTTTTTTTTTTTTTTTTTTCCAACGATTGAGGGAAAAAAAAGTACAACTCGTTGTCACGGAAAACAAAACGATTCCGAGACGAAGCGTCCTTCGCGCCGCAACAGCACGGACGAACGAATCAAAAATTATTCCGCAAAATCCCGCAACGACCCGGTATATATTACGTAAGCCCAGGTACATATAGATATCGGCGCTCGGTTACGTGCAGCCCTCATTCATCATCGGATCTTCTTTCCTGCTGCTGCCGTTGCGTCATCGGGAATCGGCCGAGATAATCGGTCGGATTACGTACACTCGCCGAGCGAAATCGATACCGCGACGCAGAGCAGAGGAAGACCATCTACACAGCGACTCGAAAAACAAGCTTCCCATCCCTTCTACTCGCTAAAGTACTCCACGGCGACGCTCTCCTCCCTGTCGCTACCACCGCCTCGACCTTCCACGCGTCGCTCCACCGATTCTCCAACTCTCTGTTCCCCAGCGGTGCGCAAGCTCCTCCTGACGAACAGCCGCTCTTCTCTCCGGTCGAACGACTGCACAACCTTTCCCGAGCCACCATCGCTCTCCCTCCTCCTGGTGGCTGGGCGAGGTTGTGGATCCTCCACCCCGAGCAAGGCCATGTCCGGCGAGTCGAGCTCGTCGCTCGTCACCTTGATCCTGCGCTCTATCCCCCTGAGGGCTCTCTCCAGTCCCTCTCGGGAGCTAGTGGGCGCTTCTAAACCGCGGGGCTGGTCGTTCCTACTTTTTTTCCCGCTACGCTCCTTCGACCCGAGCTCGGCGCACCTCCTTCTCAGCTGGTCGTCCAGTTTCTCCAGCCTCCTCCTGACCCTCTCGAACCCGCTGCTGCTCTTTGCCGGTTCTTCCCTGTTGGCCTCGCCGATTTTACCTCCCATCGGCGAGTCACCCCTCCCGGGATCGGTGGCTTTCTTCCTCCTCCTCCTCCTCCCCTCGTCGAGCTGCACATATGTGGGGCGACAAATTGAACCGGGGCTCGGGTTGGACGAACCGGTTTTCCACGGGTCCGGGATGCCCTGTAGCATCGGCAGTCCCCGCTCGTTCCACACGTAGTCGGTCAGCTTGACGTACTCCGAGGCCGCCCGCGCGTTACCCGGTGCTCTGCCTTCCCTCCAGGTGAGGTACTCCAGCCACGGGTCCGGTATGCCGGTACGGAGCCTAAGGAGCGGGTCGTCCCTCGGGGAAGCCTTCGTTGTCAGGACGACGTAGGGCACGGCTTTCAGAAGACGCGCTTGGCGAAAGGGGCCCGGGACGACCGAGTGGATGACGTAGGCGTCGCGCGACCTCGGCACCGTCCACTGGAGCTTCCAGCCCTCGTTGGTGCGCACCGGTGACTTGGAGCACGGGGGACCTCAGGGGGGGGGGACAAACAAACGTGTTTAGGCCTGCCTTAACCTATGCGAACGCTGGTGCAGGGCTGAGATTTTTTTTTTTTTTTTTTTATACTCACTGTTACTGCATCTGCGGAGTGATGGTTCCATTCCTTTTTTTCCTTTTTTGGTTCATCTAACAATCACTTTTTTTTTGTTTTTCGCTGATCCTTGACACGAGGAGCTAATTGATCGTTACATGCACCCGGGTAATCGTGTATCGAGTGAAAATAAATTCAACCACGTTTTTTACCATTTTAGGTTTTGTTTTATTTTATCAATTTTCATTAATTTTAGACAATAGTCGAGTCGTCGCAAATATATTCGTATAATATAAATATCATTAGGTATTTGTGTTCTGTATATGCGAGGCTCGTACGTATAGGAAAAAGAGAGAGAGACAGAGAGAGAAAAAAAAAACACCACATCGTCTTATCCATCACTCGTATTTTTTATCATCTTGGTAAATGTACAATGATAATCATAATTGTATATTTATATATTTTATGTGTATAAGTACGACGAAAAACTTGGGCCACTAGGCAAATCGTCCTTATGTTTATATTCATCGTTGTCATACAAATCGGGGAGGGGGGGGAAATTGTTTTTTTTTTTTCTCATTCATTTTCGTACACGTGCGCCCAGTTTTTTTTGTTCGACAATCAAAGGCCCAAGAGGGGGAAAGTTTGAGAATAGGTAAAACTCGTCCTTATTTTTCTTCTTCTTCTTTATTATCAAAGTTTTCTTCGTGTTAGTCTGTGCCCAAAATCACGAGGTTTTTCACCTCTTATATACATATATATTATTTTTTTTTAAACACGTATGTACATATACATCACTTANAATCGTTTCCAATTTTATATAAGTTTTTGTAAAGAATTTGAAATATTTTAATGAATATTTTTGTTCGCATTACTTGAAAAGTTTTCCACTCAAGCTTTTGCATAAATAAAGCCGCGAACTTGATCAAAGGCTACTTAAACACAATAATAATTTAGAAAGTAAGGAAACACACTTTTTAGCCTTGTATTCTGTGCTTTTGTTGAAAAAAGCTCCATCACATATTTTTCTACTTCCGGAGTAAGGTATATATAGGTGAAAAAACGTCGCTCATTGACAACAAGGTCGCAGAGCTGAAACCCGCAAGTTTCAGGTCAAACGGAATTTCATCCTGAGCACAAAAATATATACTTACAGCCATTGCACTGCACTTCCCCTCTTCGACCAACTATTCTCATTTGGTTTTCTCACCCAAGAACTTCCATCGGGGGGGGGGGGGGAGGCTCAATTCGCAATCCCCGAACTGCGAGTCGAGAGAAACTACGGGCAACTTTTGTCGATCTGGTATACAGAAAATAAGCTCCCAGTGGTTACTGGCTGTTGCTTGACGGAGTGACTTAGAGAGCGGAAAAACAAGAAAGAAGGTCCGGGCGATTTTCAAGTGCTTTGCGAGTTGCCTCGAGGTTTTGAATTTTTTAAGGACTCGCCTGCCGCATCGAGCTCTTGTGCAGCCGCTGCGACTTTAAGTTTATTCAGGGATGCCGAGAATTTCTTTTGTACATATACATCACTTAAAAGTACAATATAAACTGTCGCTGTGACGCTTCTTTTTTTTTTTCTCGCATAATGCAGCGCCACTCGCTCCGAAAATTTTTTCTTTTCTTTTTTTTTTTATTAGACCCTTACCCGCGGTACAAATACAGTTTTTTTTGTTTTATTCGGCACTGCCTACGTCTTTTTGTTTCGTAGCCGTGACAAGCACCTCGAAATTCATTTTACGCCTTTTCTAAGCACAGCCAGTTAACACACGCTTTTTGAAGATTTACAAAACTCACTTTCTTTGTAATTTGTTTAATTTATATTTTTTTTTTCAGGTAGTCAATATCGTTTTGTGTACTTTCAAATAAAAAATTTTTCATTCCGAGAAGCACCATTATTTTTTAAAACGAAAAATACGTGGTAATAGTAACAATAAATAAGAGCATAACACTTTAGCAACTCATCAATTACAAGTATGATGAAAAAAATTTGTACGAATTAAGTTAAAAATCATTTCTATTACAGTTAATAACGATCGCGAAATCGATGAAATAATCGATGCATCGTGCAGCTGATGGTTTTATACAGTGCTACGGCTTCTTAATTTTGATACTTGTGAATTTCTTTGTTTTTTATTTGTTTATTATTATAATTTTCTTAAGTCGCTTTGTATAGGCGAGCTTAAAAAGCAGGCACTCACTTTACCATTGCACATTGTATGTACTTACTTGAGAAGTAAATTAATATTTTTTTCAACTAACTTTCCCTGCCTCGTCGTCATCACCCTAACACAGCCATTAAATTTATTCAAAACACCCGTTCTTCTCCATTTTTTTTTCTTCTTTTCGTCTTCCTCGTTTAACTAATTTTTTTTTCTTTAGTACTAAATCATTTTCAAAAATGGAAGAAATTAAATCAGATACCTATCTATTTACGTGAAGGCCTCCATGAAAATGGGCTTCGCGCGTTCGTAGATTTTTATTTATTTATTTATTTATTTTATTTTTTTTTTTTTTTTTTCATCATAAAAAAGTCACGGTTTTACAAATCATTGCTTAGTTCACTAAAAGTGCATTTCGCTCGTAGTGAAGTAGTGTGTGTATTTTTCTTTATAATATGTACTCGATAAAACGCCTAATTAAGTATGATAGCCTTCTTTTTCAATCCGTTTTTCATTGTGTTCCTCAAAAAATACAATTACAAGTGTCACATGCGTCTCAACCAACGTTTCGTCGTATGTAACGACAATTGTATGTATGCTGTTTATTCCATCAATTGCAATATTTTTTTATTTTTTTTATTTTATTTTTTTTTCAAAACTTCGTAAAAATACTGCATCAAGATGCTACATGAGTTTTTTAATCTAATATTCAAATATTATTATCTAACAACTCTTTGTTTGCGTTTCAAAGTAATATCCAAAACGTTAAATGATTTTACAGTCCTTGATCTTGGAGTGTACGTACTATCGGACTATTAAAAAAAAAAAAAACGAAAAATATCATTGTTGAAACAGTTTTTCGAGATTGATTAGTTAAATCAACTTGAACATGAAATCGCGTTTTTCGCATTCAAATACAAAATGATACGTATATCGGTATAACAAGGTGTACGTGTATATGAGGAAAAAATTTGGCTTGATTTTTTGTTTGAGTTATCGGCAGTTATTCAACACTGAGTTAGTCGTCGATTTGTGTATTTTTTCATATACGTACTGGTATTAAGAGTATATACCTACATATACAGGCGTGGGAGAAAAACGTGACTCGCTAATTAATAATAATATGTCATCATAATTCAACACAGACACAACGTTCTCGAAACACGTAACGTACGTCTTACAAATAATTACTTTCTCTTTTTTTTTTTAAATTATAATTTTTTTTTTTTTTTTTTCGGTATGACATAAACATATGCGCAAGCACAATTAACGACTAGGAGACGCGTTTAAGAACGTCTCGATGCGGTTCGGCAAAATCAACGACTTGGGGTTAATTGGACACTCAGTATTATTTTGTCTTGCTTCCTCCGAAAATTACAATGTTTAAGTACCAGCACATATTTTCTCTTTTCTGCTAACGACAAAATCACAACTGTAAATACGATCTGGCTTGAGAAACGAGATTTTCGAAAAGCGAAAAATCCATTGAAAACATAGATAGAGGAATTATACAGCTATTTGTTAAAACCATTATTTACCGTAGCTATTTTTTGAAAAATAGATAGGGATTACAAAAGTGGAATTAATAGTTTTTTTTTTTCCTACCTTTTTACAGGAGCAACAAAATTAAATTTGACAATACTAATAGGTCGTTTGATTTTTGTTCCATTATGATGAGATAACGTGTCTCATTTATTTGCAAAAAAAAACATCGTTTGTGGACGAATGTATTTCAGTGATTTTCATGATTACTCTTTAACAATCACAAAATCGTTAAAGTGTAAAATTTAATTCGTTATTTTTTAACGATTAACATTAACACTTAAAAACTACACGTACTACAACGTTTGTTGATATCATTGAAATAATATCTGGTAACTTTTCACAATATTACTATATAAGGTATATCAGTTCATAAGAAAAAACCACGGTTAATTTAACTTAATGTAGTTGTTATCGTCGACTTTCACCGTTAAAAAGATGGCTTTCTTTGATATACACAGAACGTAACGTATGAAAGGCATATAATTAATTGAAACTTTCGCAGATGTACGTATAATTCGTCGTCGACGTTTTTGCACGTAAACTGATTAGGTACATCAAAGTCTTGGTAATCAAAGTAAACTTTACGTGTACGTACACATTACGTCGGTGTTTCTCTCAATTAATTTTCAAATTAACTCCCAGTGTTTCATATGTCGTTCAATAAACGTATGTATATATGTATAAAATTACTAAAATATAACTGTTTTGTTCAACTTTACAGCTATATATGCGCTACACACGTGTAGCTACATTTGATAGTAAATAAGTATAGTTCGTTGTTTTTAACTTAGAATTAACTTTACGAAAAAAATTCTTGATTTTTAAATTATTCCAGCTGTCTTTGCGACAAATACTCGACTTTGACGAGCCGACGACAATTTTTCAATCCATAACTGTGTACCTGTGATACGCAGCTTAGACGAGAATGTCAATCAATCCATCCCCAGCAAAAAACTCGAATATCGCAACTGTCAAGCCACACAAGATGCATCCAGGAGCTTGGCTTTCGTAAAAAAAAAATAAAAATGCACAAAAAAACAGTAGAGGAAGTACAGATAGCCACACAACTTTACACGCCAATTATTCGAGCACTTGCCTCCTCTTCGATGTGTAAAAAAAAAAAAAGAAAAAAAAAGTGCTCTTTATTCTTTCGTCATACTGTTGCTGTCCGCGTCCCTTACGTCGACCTTTACCGCGTCCTTGTCGTCAGATTCCTCGTCCACGTTCTTGGGATCGTCCGAGACGAGAAGTAGAGGCAGACCTCCCAGGACCATGCACGTGCCCATGAACAGGAAGCATATGTTGTAGCTGCCCGTCACGTCGCGCATCAAACCTGCAATGTGTGCACCAAGTTTATATACATATTTTTACTTGGACAAAATACCAGAAAGGGTAAAACGGGTTCACGTGTGTTAATATAAACATACCGTGGGGTTTGTTTTTATTTTTGTTTCATTAGGTTTTTTTTTTTTTTTTTTTTTTACTCCAGAAGAACTAGAATTTTTGTTATTTTATAGAATTCTATGCCCACCAAATGAAGATGAAAAGGGGAAAAATAAACTTGAAGGACAAAAATAGCCAATGGAGCGAAAGAAGCCATTGGAAAAACTTTCCAAACGAGGGTACAGTGGAAAGAAAAGGGATAAAACATAGTCAATGACAAGTGCCCCATAACAACGATGTATACGAGGAGAGAGAAGGGCATATAGTCGATCAAAAAATGTAATTGCGCCCAGTTTGGAGTCACTTTATCGTCTTCGCGAGATCTCGCTCGCTCTCTTTCGGCTACTTAATTGCGGAATCGTTTGCTCTCCGATACCATCATCGTTATTCTCGTCGCCGAGAAAGAGATGTGAATGTGTTTTCAACCGAAAGCGCGAATCCTATCGAGGGGGACATTATTGATTTGTTTTACAGGTACGGCTGCTCGTGTCTCCACCAGACCAGAAATTGCAATGACATAATGCGTAAAAATGGTAAATTTTATGAAAAACAAACACACCTTTTTTATTGCCCTTTTGCAGTGAGAAATTTGTATATTGTACTATGAATTCGTGGACGCAAAAACCGTAGGACTTTCAAAACATACTTTTTGTTTCATCAAACTTTGAAAGAGTTTTGGTTATTTAACGTACCGAAACAGTTTATATTTTATGTAATTTTTAAATTTCATAAGGAATTATGTTTTTAATTAATTATTTCAAAAAGTAGTTCACGGATTTCCAAGCTCGTAAATATTACTGCGACGACGATGGAAATAGATACTCATGCAAATACCCACAGCATCGTTATTATTTCAGGTTCACGTATAAGTACCATCCCCACCAGCCCAACCACACGGATAGTTTGAGAAAGAAAGACTGTTGTTACCAAATGTGGGTCAAGTGTTGGATCGGCCTACTGCTCTTTATGTTTATCGTCACAAGCATACGTCTCGCCGTCAGTATTTTTATCGGAATGTCATCGCATACTTTGCGGGACAAATAACGATTAACACGCACGTAATCGCGATTGATTGTCATTTCGATAACGACGCGGTAATCGCGTTGCGTAACGATTTACGTATATACTGCACACGCAAAGTGTTTCGAACAACTGATTACCGATTTTTTTTTTTTTTTTTTTTGTGTGACTTTGTCACGAATCGAAGAGGCTCTTTACTCATTTATTGATTAAATTTTTTTTATAAATAATCAAGATATCTACTTTGACGTGCAATAATATAAAAAAGAGAACAATTGATTTTTTATTGATTTTGCATTTGTAGAACAAATACGTTTTTCCGAAGCAACGTTTGAAAGCGACACACGTGCACGTCCAGTTATACACGCGTGAAAAAAGCTCACGAGTACTTCCTCCCCCTCCTATTGGTCGACGGACGACAAATACTTATTCATTGCTGTATACCGCGCGCAAGGCCACGCGATCAATTTTTCGCTTCGTTTTCGCGGCTCAACGAGACCTGAAATCGGATCCTCGCTTATACGTCCCCGTAGCGTCGATTTCGCGGGTAAAATATTCATTCCACGTGCAAAACGTCGTTTACTCTTGTTTTTTTTTTTTTTTTTTTGTTGCTTCCTCCTTCGATTAATACCCGCCACGTTAAGCGTCAAGAGAAAAAGAGAAATGTACGTGTGCGCGGCGAGTTCACTTTTGCGATCGATTTAATTAATTCCAAAGAAGCATTTGTCCACATCGGTAATGCAAGGAATGCCATTGTACGAGGTATACGCGCGATAAATTTTTCACGTGCGCCTTTCAACGCCAGTTGAAATGTTGATTGTTAATAATGAGCGTGCATTTTGCGTGAAAACAAAAAGTCAATTACGATGATTAAGTACCAAGGGGAAAATAATAATATAAAGTCAATGGCAGGTGTATAGAGCTCCTTTCATTCATCGGTAGACCCGCTCGCTGTTATTGCTTGAATCATTGATGAAACTTTGTCTACATGTACCTATGAGACGATAGTTTCACGTATGTATATATATCAAGTGCTTGATACTTATCAATGTATGTGCTGGTATAGTCACGTGAGGCTGAACGATTTTTCGTACAAAAATTTGCACCAGCGATTGACCCAAGAATATAAAACAATGATGTCAGGGACAAGACGAAAATGAGAAATTAATTACTCCCGTTAGTCTATATATATATATATATATATCGCGTGTACTCGCAGTCCATCTCGCAGATTCGACGGAACGTGTCCTTGCAAACATGTACTCGTATACACGAGTGTAACTTGAAAAAAAAAACATTCAATGCCATCGGTCCTACATCTTCGAAAATTAGTCAACTTGTAAGTTTAATCCACAAACTGAGCAGATAAAGTACCTACAAAACTGTGCGGTATATACACATACACATGAATGTTAAGGATAAGACTATAAAGTTAGAGCCTCATTATCCCGTACCCTCATTTGAATAAATATTATACCCTCGGGACACGCGATGAGCCAACATCGGCAAGACAATTACTGTACTTGTTTGGCCAAAAAAAAAAAAAAAAAAAAAAAAAAAAAAAATTACTTNAAAAAAAAAAAAAAAAAAAAAAAAAAAAAAAAAAAAAAAAAAAAAAAAAAAAAAGAAGAAAAAATTTTTTTATCAATTTAATTGCCGTCACAAGTATAGCTAATATGACAGTCGTGCCCGAATATATCCCCGAAGCACAATATCTGCGAAAAACGAGGAGTGATCATCTACAGCTGCTTAAAAGCTCTCCCCCGCGTGGGCACGAGCTTTCTCGCCGTGTACGATGCGTATATTTGGTGCCTTCGGAGGAGGAGCTTTTCGTCAGCCCTCGAATGGTTCTCTCTCTCTCTCTCGGGGCTATTTATAAGTGTCCTTTATATTTCCGTTCGATTATCTCGTTTGAACGGCCGACGCGCGGAGGGACCCACCGTTTGTTCAATCGATACGCCGATCGTCCTTCGAAACCGTGTTTTCCGAATAAATATTTACTCGCCTTTCGGCTGAAAATCATTCGGCTGCCCCGCGCCCATGTGGCGCTGCAATTAATTTTGCCCGCTACATATCGTATATGTATAAAAGAATACATGCCACATAGTCATATACCGATCATTCGACGAGCAAATGTATATTTTGTATTTGTTATTGATGCCCTCCCCCCAAAGTCGGAAGACTCGCGCGTTTTGGAGGCCAGCCAACCCCATTGGTAACATGTGAAAACAAAGGAAAATCTCGAAAGTCCGAAAAAGGAGGTAGATGCACGATGGAGAAAAGTGTGTACGTTTTACCTGCAAGTGGCGGTATGGTGATGGCACCGACGCTCTGGAACATGCGAACGAGGCCGTAGCTGGAGGATATCTTGTCGGTGCCGTATTGATCTGCCAGCAGCACGGGAACCAAGAGGAACCAGCAGCCCAGGCACAGGCCGTAGATACCCACGGACACGGCTAGGACGTAGAACGAGTGGGCCAGGGGTATTATCAGCACGGCCATACCCGCCCCTACGATGCTGGTGGACGCGAAACACAAACGTACTTGTATATATGGCGCGAGGGAAAAAAAAAAAAAAAAAAAAAAAAAAAAAAAAAAAAAAAAAAAAAAAAAAAAAAAAAATTACACTCCATCGTGATGACTTTTATTTTTTATCCGATAAAAAAAAATCCAGTTAATAAAATTTTCAACCGAACGCGTGTACCTATACGTATACAAACAGACCACATATCTTCGTTTCAATTGAGTACAGCGTCTCAAGGAGGAAATCGCCGCCGATGCGGGCGAGCGGCCAATTAGAGACACCAAAGATTAAGAGCTCTGCATGGGCTACTATCGTGTGTGTGTGTGTGTGTGTGTGTCTGTGCTCGTCCCACTGGCAATTGGTGATGCGTACACGCGCTCCGGACAATTAGATTGTATTTTTCCTGTTTTCAACGCGCCAACGACGACCAAAGGAAATATATATCATTCCCGCGGACCATACCGATCTCACAAAAATATTGTACAAAGAGCGAATGTTGGTCAAATTTATTGGAAATACGCGTCAGATGGTTCGATTATGTGCGGCGCATGTATAGTTCCTGTATAGCGATTTACACCTGCGAGTTTCAGTCGAGCGAAGTAGAGGTATACGATTGAGAACGGATGATCGTGGCGAGTTCGAAACTACCGAACCGCGGAATTTTTTTTCTCCTCCATCACCGAAGTAAGATTATACATGTTTACATACGTATAACCAGAGCTAACTGGAACGTCGCGTACACACACACGCGCGAGGGTCGATTCCGCAACGCGGCCCGCTAAGATCCTGTTATTCGATTGCCGTCTCTTCTTAGTTTTTTTTTTTTGTTTTTTTTTGTTTTTGTTTCTTAATCATATATCGCCGTCATCATCGCATGACAACGACGAGGAAAATCCTTAGCCACCGCAGAGATGCCGCGAGGAAGTTGTTGTTTGCGCGACCCAATTGTCGTTTGCTATTAGCTCGCGGGCAATAACGCGTCGCTCGATCTCTTTTTTCTTTTTTCCCCGTCGAGTGTTTTGTAGAATTGAATTGTTATCTACACGCCGACCCGTTTGGCTCTTTTTTTTTTTTTTTTTTTTTTTTTTTTTTTTTTTTTTTTTTTTTTTTTTTTTTTTTT